GTTTATCTTACTTTCAACCAAAAATGGTCAACTAAAACAAAACAAAACAAAACAAAACAAAACAAAAAGACATTCATACTCTAATCCCATCTCTGGGTGGACATGATCATTATCCGGAGTGTTTTGAAATGGAATGTACAATGTCAATAAGGCTTAATCTCAAATACACAAGAGCTTCTCTGAAATCTGACCTCACAGGTCCCTTTAGGTTCCTTTTTCCATGAATAAAAAATGACTCCCTCTTTGCCAATGGAACATGAGATAGATTAACGGTTGTTTTGGTAATAATACTTCTTGGCAACTCTGAACTTAATTAAAATTCATGTCAGATACAGAAAATCAAATGTATTATTTATGTAAATGTATTTTATGTTATTCATGAGCATGAATGCTGAAGTTAACATTACAAAAAGCTTTCATATTAACCCTTATTTTCATTGAATAACCTTCCAAAAGGGCTAGTGATTTTCCATTTCAGATTATTATCCCCAGAACCCAAATCCTATTCGGTAATTAAAAGAACATCTACTTATTTAAGTATTAAAATAAGAAATAAAACTCTAGAATTTAATGAAAATATCTAATCTCTCCAATTGAGAGGTCTAATTTTGACAACTCTGAAATTCTTTCACAAAAAGCCACAATGGTAGGGTTTTAGGCCAATTCTTTGAAAGTGGCTAATTACATGCAAGGAGATACATAGGTTATTAGATATCTGTGAGACTATTAGGTCAGTCTACATGATGATTTATCTCTGAATATAATCATACTTTAAATGACCTATTATATTTTCTACTCTTTGAGTTGTATAAAATATCTATAGGTATACCATAGTCAAGAGAAGCAACATTTTAGAGATTCTAGAAAACTGTGAAAATCACAATGATGATGAACTCCACCAACTATCAAGACCTGTGAAAGCCTTGATAAAGTGAAAACAAGTTCCCTCTACAAAATACTTCTGAAAGCTGCTCAGGTTACTCTCAGGGCTCTCTCTTGTTCCATACTCTTACATAAGAGAAAATGTAAGAGAATTTCTATTGGCAAAGAATTTCTCTTGAAACTCTCTTACTGTAAAGGCCATGCTAGGTGGCATGAGCGATACTAACATTATTAAAAGACATAGCCCCTATCCTCGAAGAGCTTATAATCTGTAGGGGAGACAGGGCAGAGAAATAAATAAGTACAATGAGACAGAATGTGATAATCCACAAAAGGGATGCAAGCAAGGAGCCACAGGAGTTCCCAGGAGAAAAGATCGCTTTGGGTTCACAGATGAAGGACAATTTTTTAGAGGAAGTGGCATTTGAATTGCACCTGAAAATGGCAGAATCTACAGAGAAATCTGGCTAGGGAAAGAGGGAGAGCATTCCAGAGACGTTTACACCAAGACCACAAAGGCAGGAAAGCACAAAGCCCTCAGAAGAAAAAATGAACAATTCTGGTTGGCCAGTTGAGGGTGTACATGAGGGGACGGGATGTAGGAGAGGCAAGAAGGGAACCGGGCAGGTCATGGAGGACCTGGAATATCCAACAAGGAACAGAAGCAAGCACAGGGGCACCATGAAGCAATCAAAACAGGGTGAAAGGGGAAGTGATCTAGGACTGTGTGCCTTACAAATTACAGAGTGATGTGTGTTTGTGTGTGTATACCACACCTTCTCTATCCATTCATCAGCTGATAGACACTTCGACTCTCTCCATAGTTTGGCTATTGTTGATAATGCTGTCATAAACACCAGGGTGCATGTACCCCTTCAAATCTGTATTTTTGTATCCTTTAGGTAAATACCTAGTAGTGCAATTGCTGGATCATAGGGTAGCTCTATTTTTAACTTTTTGAGGAATCTCCATACTGTTTTCCAGAGTGGCTGCACCAGTCTGTGTTCCCACCAACATTGCAAGAGGGTTCCCCTTTCTCTGCATCCTCACCAACACTTGTTGTTTCTTGTGTTCTTAATTTTAGCCATTCTGACAGGAGTGAGATGGTATCTCATTGTGGTTTTGATTTGTATTTTCCTGATGATAAGTGATGTTGAGTATCTTTTCATGTGTCTGTTAGCCATCTGGATGTCTTCTTTGGAAGACTATTCATGGCTTCTGCCCATTTCTTAACTGGATTATTTGTTTTTTGGGTGTTGAGTTTGATAAGTTCTTCACAGATTTTGGATACTAACTCTTTATCAGATACGTCATTTGCAAATATTTTCTCTCATTCTGTAGGCTGCCTTTTAGCTGATTGTTTCCTTCACTGTGCAGAAACTTTTTATCTTGAGGAAGTCCCAATAGTTCACTTTTTGTTTCCCTTGCCTCTGGAGACATGTCTAGTAAGAAGTTCCTATGGCCAAGGTCGAAGAGGTTGCTACCTGCGTTCTCCTCTAGGAATCTGATGGATTCCTGTCTCACATTTAAGTCTTTTGACCATTTTGAGTCTATTTTTGTGTGTGGTGTAAGGAAATGGTCCAGTTTCATTCTTCTGCATGTGGCTATCCAATTTTCTCAACACCATTTGTTGAAGAGACTGTCTTTGTTCCATTGGACATTCTTTCCTGTTTTGCCGAAGATTAGTTGACCATAGAGTTGAGGGTCCATTTCTGGGCTCTCTATTCTGTTCCATTAATCTCTGTGTCTATTTTTGTGCCAGTACCATACTGTCTTGATCACTACAGCTTTGTAATATAGCTTGAAGTCCGGAATCATGATGCCTCCAGCCTTGCTTTTTTTTTTTTTTTAAAGATTTAATTATTTGAGAGAGAGAGAGAGAGAGAGAGAGGGTGAGCAGGGGGAGGGGCAGAGAGAAAGGGGTAGACGTAGACCCTGCACTGAGCACAGAGTCCGACGTGGGGCTCAATACCACAAACCTGAGATCATGACCTCAGCCGAAATCAAGAGTGGGATGCTTAACTGACTGAGCCACCCAGGCACCCCTGCTTTTCTTTTTCAGGACTGCTTTGGCTATTCGGGGTCTTTTGTGGTTCATACAAATTTTAGGATTGTTTGTTCCAGCTCTGTGAAATATTCTGGTGGTATTTTGACAGGGATTGCATTAAAAGTGTAGATTGCTCTGGGTAGTATAGACATTTTAACAATGTTTCCTCTTCCAATCCCTGAGCATGGAATGTTTTTTCCATTTCTTTGTGTCCTCTTCAATTTCTTTCATAAGTGTTTTATAGTTTTCAGAGTACAGATCTTTTACCTCTTTGGTTAGGTTGATTCCTGGGTATCGTAATAGTTTTTGGTGTGAATATCTATTGCTTTTAATATGAAGTCTTTAAAGTAGGAGTTATTTTCCCTGGCACATTATGGCTCTTGTCCCTCTGGGTGCTCAGGGTATCCCTCTCTAGTGTCCTATGAAGCAGAGGTGAGAAGAAATACCCTAAGCACACCTGGAATGATTCTGTCCACACCTGTCAGCTCTCCTTTAGCAAAAGCTGCTGCCACAAGAACAAAGTTCAATTCATCTTGAAATTATGTCCACACCTGTCAGCTCTCCTTTAGCAAAAGCTGCTGCCACAAGAACAAAGCTCAATTCATCTTGAAATTACTATTATTTCTTTAAGAAATCAAGGCTTTAGCATCTTCCTTAGAAAGATATATACCATGTGAGTTTTTTTTTTTTTTTAATCACTCTCGTGCTCCCTCCAAAAGAGAAACATGCCATTGGGAATTTTACTACTAAAAACTATGACAAATAGCTGCTCCTATATTTAAAAATCCTCAGACTGTCAATATGCACACACATATTCTAAAAATAGGAGTTCCACATTTGCAAATAGTTCTTTATTATATTCATATTTCAGATTTTGAGACATCTACTGGGCCCTAATGGAATCCATAATGACAGCGGTGCCCCTAACATGAATCCTGTGTGAAAGTAGTTCAGAGATGCAGCGCCTTTAGGAAACCAAGTGAGCAAAAACCTCTCAGAAACTGCTTACAAACACTTCAACATAAAGGAAAGTGTAAGGTACTACTTTTAGGAATAACTAGGTAGACCAAAATTTAGAACTGTAAAAGTACAAATGTGCTGCACATCAGCTCTCCAAACCCAAGAAAGGATAAAGAGCAAGCTCAGAGAAAGGAAATTTAAAAAAAAATAATATGAATCAATCTCATTCTCAAACTCTACCCCCCAAACCCCATCCTGCTGTCTCTCCCTTACTACTTCAGCCTGATTCAACTGTTGTAATCCCTCCCAAACAGCCCTGCACATGAAAACCTCTAAGACTTTCCTGGCCTTCCGGCAAGTTCTTGCTAACCAACATCTGAGATGTCATGGCTTCAGATCCAATAACAATGACTTTGAAGTTGACAGGCTGAGATAAGTTTTGGTCATCAAAGGCACAGCCAAATGGGGCAACCTCCAGATCTTCTTTAGAAACAGTGGCTGTTTGTGACTTACTCTGAGACTATTAATTCAGACTTTATAAAATATAGCTTATAACATCAGTCTCAGGAACCAGGCCTAGAGTAGCCTCATTCAGCTAATGGGGATCTTTCTGGACACAGAGTTGAAGAAGTTCAGCTGTGTTTTTTTTTATTTTCAATATCATTTGGTTAACTTTTAGAAATCCAACCAAGTGTTCCATCAAAATGAAGGCATTACAGGTAATCCCAGGTGACTAAAAGGATTCTCACCACCACTATTTAATACATGTTTCATGTAACACCTGTTTTGGATCTTTCTTTGACTTCTTACATAGAATCCATGGAGCAAAGGGCTCCTGGAGTCAGCCCCTGGATAAGTCATTTTCTATATTTCAACATCTTTTTCTAGCACGTTAACTCATAACTGAAAAATGATAGGGCCAAACAGGCTTTTTTTTCCTCAGTAGATTCTTTTCTAAAGTCCTAACAATGGTAGCTTAAAGTAGTCAAATCAAATCTTTCATACACAAAGGAATGAAACTATTACACCCGCATGCGGATCCACCCGGCCCAGTGTGGCCCGAGGGGCGTATCCCGCAGGGGAGTAGCGCACGCCGGCCCCGCCCACTTACGGTTGGCCAGCCGGCCCTGCTCGGGCTGTGCGCTGTCCGCGGACTGGGTGCTGGAGACCGAGGACACGCTGGAACTCCGCACAAACCCAAACGCGGCTAGCTTGGCTGCCGGCAGACGAGAGTATCCGGGAGGACGAAGTCCAGATTTGGGTAGATTGGACTTTGCAGCATTTGAACCGGAGGCTTTCTTTAAATCTGCTATAATTAACGAAAACAAAACAAAACAAAAAAATCCGTTGACAACAAGATAGAGAATACATGGACTACGAATATTAATCTAGCTCTATCATAAACAGGCCACAATCAATCTTGCAGGGTGTGCTTTAGCACATTCACAAACACATCTTTATGAGAAAGGCCCCTCGCAGTGGGCTGGGGGTTTCAGAGAATTCAAATAAGAGGAGAGGCAGCGGGGCAGATGAGACAAGAACAGACAACTAGTTCTATTATATGACCATAAACAAAGGTATACAGTGCTTAGGAAGCTGAATGGAATGAACACTTACTGTTGCACGTTACCCTAGAATTGTGAAATAGACATACACCTTAAAATCTGACATGCAGTGGGCAAAGAGCCCTTGTGGCAAATAATTCATCAGCAATTTTAAACAGTATGTGATAATTCATGGAAGCATGTACAAAGAATCGTTTGCTAACATTCTGTTGGTTGTAGGAATGAGGTGGGCACAAACTATGGAGCTGGCCAGGTGGAAATCCAGTCTCTGTCATTTATTAGCTGTGTAACCTCGGAAACTTGACCCAACACTTTAGAACTCAGTTTCCTCCCATGGAAGGACTGGGATGATAAAACTGGCCTCAAAGGTCTAATATAAATATTATTGCTTGTAACAGAACTTTATAGGTGCTCCAATTAATGCTAGGGTTTTTTTTTTTTTTTTCCTTTCTCCATGATCTGGTTTTGTGTTAAACTAAAATTCAAAAAACAAACTAAACTTCAAAATTAGTTCCCAGATATGTGCAAAGCCAGCTAATTTTGAAATAATAAAACATCATGCTATAAATCCACCATCTCAGCATGATGATATCTGAACCAGGCTCTGTTCATGGCCACTGCAATGATCATCTCCACATTATAAGAAGTCTTTCAATATCAGATAGAACCAGAATGTTATCACACACAAATGCTCTTTAATATTCCTTAAAAGGAAAAGGGGCTAAAAGTCCTAATATTCTGTATGATTGTCCTAGTGAAGCCATTTATAACTTTTACCTGCCATATTTACTGTGAGTGCTTATATACAGATCCTTCAGCAATGCTCCTCACTCCTTATTATCTACTGAAAGATTAACTGGGTTTAGGGGTTTCAGACTAAAAATAATAAAAAAAAATTTAAAAAATTGATGCCTAAAAATCAATGAAGAATCTATAATAGAAATAAATCTATGTATGGAAATCTGTGGAGAACCAACAGATGTCAATCTGGTCCAGTGGTGCCTCTTCCTCTACTAGGAGCTCCCCCTAAGAGTGAGGCTGTAGCCAGTTGTACATCCAGATGAAAGCAGAATATGCACAACTATGGTTTCCTGATTTCTGGGTCAGGACTAGGAGGAGGAGGAATCAGGTGAGTGCAGAGGGAAGAGGGAACAGGGATTTGGGGCTGCAATATTCCCAATTCAGTTCTGTCCTTCTGCTTGGGAAAAAAATGTTCAAATATGATGAGAAATAGTCACTGTTTAATAAGTAGTAATGGCCCTTCTGTATCAGCAATTAAATGTCAGATCAATGCCTTCAATTGCTGTTCTATCATTTTGCATACTCTGAGATGATATCCCCAGAACAATGAAAGTATCCCCGTAAATCAGATACATTTTCGCAATAAATTTAAACTAAAGCAATTTTGGATAACGCCTGTAAAACAGTTTCTAAAAAATCAGATGTGATTTCAATAATAAGTATACTAAATCCATCATGTTTTGATACTAATTTCAGTTATAGAGGGTAAGAGTATAACCTCTTTCCCAACCCAGTTAATCAATAACTGATTTAAGATTACACAAAATCAAGTGAGAAGAATATGAATAAATGGGTTTTTTTTCCTAGTAAACAAACCCATATTTCAGAATGAAGGAAAGGTCAGAATTCCTAACAGAACACCTTGGCATATAATAAACATTCATTTAATATTCATTTAAGAATGAAAACTAGATACTCCTGGGTGGCTCAGTCAGTTGAGCATCCAACTCTTGATTTTGGCTCAGGTTCATGATCTCATGGTAGTGGGATTGAGCTTCACACAGGGCTCCATGCTCAATGCAGAATCTGCTCAAGATTCTTTCCCTCTCCCTCTACCTGTCTCCCTGCTTAGGCACTTGCACGTGTGTACTCTCTCTCTAAAATAACTAACTAACTAAATAAATTCCTTTAAAAAATTAAAACTAGTTTATTAAATCATTACATAAGACAATAAAAGCACTGAAAATGTTCAAAGAGGAATTTACCCTATTCTACCCTTACCTATATTTAGGGATTGCTCATGTCGTCGGTAGAAAGGTAGCATGTACATGCAGAGAGGGAACTCAACAACACAGGATCCCAAGCAGACATGACGTAGGTCTCTAAGTGAGTTCTGGGCTTTCACTTTCCCTTAGTCCATCTTTCCCTTTGAATAAAGGCACATACTGTGAGTGTATGTGGGTGTAGGCTACTTGTGGGAGTATGTCTTACACCAACTCTCTGTGTACATTATTTTTTCTAAATTTAATGTAATCCATACATCAAGTTAGTATCCAGTGGTCTCTCCTCCTACCAGATACATCTCACAAATAGCTTACGTACCTTCAGGGTTTGGAAAAACAGGTCTCATTCTTTGGAAACCATCAGTGCCTAGCACAGTGGTTTTGACAAATTATTCAATCAAATTTAGCTGAAGTCTGCAGTAGCCAAGCTTGCGCAACATGAATATAGTCTGCTGTGTGGGCTGAACACCTCCACTGGTCTCTCTGCATGTGAACTAGGCTGGAATGGGGCTCTAAACTCTGCTTTCTAAACAAGCACCTCTGTGATTCTCATTCAGGTAGTCCATGGAGCATACTTTGGGGTGAAAACGTCAAAGAAGATGCCATATCAGCCTGGGAAAGGTGCTCTTCAGCATTACATACTGACTGAATGTGCCTTAATTTAATCTTGGTTTCTCATAAAAGGAATTTACTTATAAAAATGTGCACTCCTTACTATTTCTCAAGTGCAGCACGTCAGAAGAATATATTTTTTTCAACTATGTAGTGTCCTTGGACTATTCAAGAATACAGACTTTGATGGAAATAGCATATCAAAGTGCACAGTAAGTCCTCAATAAACAAATGATAATAATTAATATTAAATAAAACTAAGCAGACACATAAGAGAGACATCTTCTTCCACAATGGTGGCACGAGGAGCTTCATGGACACTTTCTCCAGTAAACCAACCATAATTAGTAAAAATCATTTTTAAAAAACAACAATCATTTAAAGTTTCTAGAAATTGTTCTAAGGGCATACAGCAAATAAACATTTATAAATGAAAATCTACTAAATCCCAGTAAGAATAGTCAGACTGGATGGCACTTGAGCCTGACCCACTCCTTTCCTCCTCTGCAACCCTGTCCATCTCAGCATGATGAAAGCTCTACTCTGGGTGGCTGGGACCAAGGCAACAGGATTTCTCTCCCCCTGCTCAAGAACTACCATATCTCACTGGGAGAGGTGGGCCACCATCATTTCCCATTCCCTATGCCCTCCTCTCAGGTCCATGTTGCAGAAACTAAATTACATGCAAGCAAGAGGCCAAGAGGTCAGAAGACTCTCCCTTCGCCCAGCCCCAAGTAAGAGGCCAGAGGCACTACCCCCTCTTACCACAGCAGGCCAAAAATACTGGGGCCCTAATCACTGTTGCCCTGCCTCACTTGTAGGCTAGAGGTTCAATATCAGGAGAGGTAAAAGGAGAAGAACAGAAGCTACCGACCCTGCCTAGCAGCCACCTGTAAATCAGGATTGCCACTCCTAGAGGAGCAGACCTGTGTCCCTGCCACATCCCCCAGCAGAGTCATAACTAAGAGGTTTGCCCAAAGGCAGAGATAGGCCATAAGAACAAAAATCACTGAGGCACTCTGTAATGCCCACATTAAAAAAGAAGAAAGATGTCATATTAATAAAGTAATCTTCCATCTAAAGACACTGAAGAAAAAAGAGCAAACCAAATGTAAGTAGAAGGAAGGAAATAATAAATACTAGAATGGTAATAAACATAACAAAATGGAAAAGTAAAAAGTCAAGAAAATCAAATTTGGTTTTTAGAAAGATCAACAAAGTTGGCAAACCTTTAGTTACAACTGATCAAGAAAAAAGGAGAGAAGACTCAATTTGTTAAGTGAGGAATGAAGAGGGGACATCACTACTAATCTTACAAAAGTAGAAAAAATTATAAGGGAATATTATGAACAACCTAGTGAAATGAACATGTTCCAGAAAAACACAAAGGGAAAAAAAGGAAATAGAAAATCTGAATATACTTATAACAAAGAAATTGAATTAGTAATCCAAAAACTTCCTACAAAGAAAAGCCCAGACCCAAATATCATTAATAGGGAATTCTATCAAGCATTTAAAGAATTTATACCAGGTCTTCACAAATTATTCCAGGGAGGGAGGGAGGGAGAGAGAGAAACACTTCCAAACTCATTCTATGAAGCCAGTGTTACTTGATAACCTAACCAAACATATCACGAAAAAAAAGAAAACTCTCACAGATGCAAAATTCTCACCAAAATATAGCAAACTGAAATCAGCCACATATAAAAAGTATTACATACCATAACCAAGTGAGATTTATCCCTAGAATGAAAGAGTGGTATAACATGGAAATCAATGTACTATGTCATATGAATAGAACAAAGAAAAACCACATGATCATCTCAATATATGCAGAAAAATCACTTGACAACTTCCAAGAGCATTTCATGAATAGAAAAATGTCCTCAACTTGGTAAGGGGATGGAAAAAAAATCCATAGCTAACATCATACTCAATGGAAAAAGAATGAATCCTTCCCCCATAGATCAGGAACAAGGCAAGGCAGTTTGCTCTCACCACTTCTACTCAATATTTTATGGAAGGTTCAAGTCAGGACAATTGGGCAAGAAAATTAAAAGCCTCGCAGATTGGAAACAAGAAGCAAAACTTTCTCCATCTGTAGATCA